TGGGAAATTTCCAGAATTACTCCGGTACATAAAAAAGGTAGCAAAAATAAGCATTATTTGCAATTTTGCTAAAGTATTCGAAATAATTACCCACGATCGTATTTCCAATCATGTTTCCCGTCTTATATCTTGTGACCAACATGGATTCATGAAAAATATATTTACAGTTAAAAACAATGCAATTCATTTCGGAAGCCTTGGATAGAAGAAGTCAATTTAGTAAGTGACGATGGATCATCGACAGAAGTAAAATTAAAAGAGAAAGAAAAAGACAGAGGAAAAATTTAATTAATATGGAAATTGAATAACAAAAAGAAGTTTCCGGAAGTACCAGTAGTATTAAGACAAGTCGTTTTAACTTCCTACAAAACTACTTGTACTTGAAAGTGTCTTTCTTAGGTTACTTCCAAAAAACTCCAGAGCCCACATCCTTCATGCTGGTGCTATTTTTTTCAAAATCTCATTACTCCACGAGCACTCCATTGCGAATCCACTTCCCCTAATTTCCAAGTATTGTAGTTTTTGCACTAGCTTGAGCCAGTCAGCTTGAAAATAATCCAAAAAAAGTTAGCTGACTGTAAAAAGTCAGAGGTGCCCATCTGCCCAAAATTTCCAAGGCACCATACAACGTACTACTAGAAAGGAAAAACTCCCTAGAACAGAACAAGTAGCTCATATCACCCTTTCCACCTATTCAGTCAGATCTCAAAATCTCAATCCAAATATTCTAACGTAACTTTAGGATCCTTTATTCCAGTTATTTAAGAACTATTTTCATTTCCTCAAGAGTTACCTCATTAAAAACCTATTTAACACTCACAACTAACAACTAACAGATATCATTAACCGATACAAATGAAACATCCATCCAGCTTCACACATAAAATCAAATCTCAATCTTGTTATGGGAATGCTATTTTTATCAAAAATTCAATACTATTTATCTCACACATTCTCCTTGCTCATTTAGCTTATTCAGCAGGTCATGAAGACCTACCAATTAACAATTCACTTACGGTAATCTCGTACTAGAACGAGCCAGGCCAAACCACCCGCACTCTACTGATAGAATATATATCTTCACTTCGCAGAGCTGTCCTGCTAAGAGATATGAACACCAGACACACTAAGTTTGGAAATCTTGCCTGAAATACTTACTCAACTATCTTTTCTGTTTATTGACCTCGCTATATTTAGTGCCTCAAACAGATTTCCAATCTTTTTGTCCCACTTGGGATCATTTATCATCGATTAAATTCTTATTCAGGTCTAATCGCTGATAGATCCTTTACTGATAAGACAATTATCTTCGACCATATCTTTCACCCCAAGATATTTTTATTACTTTACGCAACTTGAAAAAAGCAGACTGGCAAGTATTTTACAGAACCATTTCTGACAACCTTCCTGAGTAACAGGACATCGACAACATTGTGTCGAAGTGGAAACATCAACCATCAAAACATCAGCTCATATGACTTGCATCAACACATCCCAGAGAACCGTTTCCACCAATACATTTTAAATTGAGCTTCAAAAAACGCAGATTGTATAGACACTAAATCCTGTCATCAAAACTGAATGGAACTGTCTGAATGCCTTGAACAGGCTCCAAACAAATCAACAAAAGTAAATAAAACTACTTCAAATTTCGATTTCAGATATGGTTCCAAATTTTCGAATTAGGTCAAAAAAACCAAAACCCATTCCTATAGAACCCCATAGAAATCAACGATGTAATACAAAATATCTCTAAATAAAAAGCCATAAAATCCACCTTAAAGCCATATTCAGAACCCCTGACAACGCCTACTTTGATGATTACTTCTGAAACCAAACCAAATTCAGCCATTTGTTGCTTCTGTCCCCTTTTTTTTATATTGACAACCCCCATTTACCACTCAAGACATCCAGTATGCCTGTTAATCAGGTCCCGACTCCGTTAACAAAATAATGCTGAAAATAGTTTCTGAAACCATATTTTCCATTCATTCTCTTTTCTTAAACGTATGCTTTTCCCTATCCTGTTCTCTTTTTGCCTGGACCTCTACAAACACAATTCAATTTCCCAAACCAGGCATTCACATTGTTCTATATCTCTTATATCTGTGCTAGATAAACTCCTTAAGCTCTTGATCAAGGAAAGAATCTGAGAATTTTGTGAATAAAGAAACATTATACCTTAATTTCAACATGGAATTAAACCCCATTGATCAAGTCTGGCATTCCGGCCTAATCAAGCCGCAACGTTGCCAATCAGGTCTAACAGCTATTTTGTATTTCTGACAGTATCTGACAGTTTCTGTGTGACTTATTGATTTATTCATTTACAAAATACTATTTTTGTGAACTTTTGTGAGAAATATAAAGAATTATGGTACATGCATGTGTAGTGTTCAAAAAGGTAGATCATTTCAGTCAAAATTTATGGTTTCATCGGTAACTATTTTTAGGTTAAGATATGTTGTTTTCATTTGAACCAGTGGAGTAGGGCTTGTACAAGATTTGATACAATTTCTTATAAAATTTAAATTATATAGGATCACATAGTAAATTGTTTAAAAAATGATTATCCAATCTAATTTTTCAGACAATTTCCTGCAGGTTTGATAATATACAATTTAAATTGTACAAAAAATTGTATCTAAAATAGTCTTAAAACAGTTTTTAAAGTGATATTCCTTTTATAAATTAGTAAATTTTTCTTGTACCAATAAATAATTATTGAATAGTGGCATAGAAAATTTAACGTAAAATGTAGAATACCTTAAAAATGATTTACCTATTGAGTACCTATACATATTTTTTATTACTCTATTTAGGTTTCCGCAAGATCCTGAGAAAAGAAAACTTTGGTTTTCTTTAATAGGAATCCTTGAAAATCAGCCCCTTCGCAAAAACCCAGAGTTGTGTTTAGAACACTGTTTTCCTGAAAATGTTTTGGTACGTGCAAATGGTACTAGATATATTAGAAAAGATGCAAACTCCAGACGGTGTGAGGGCTTTCTATTTTTGGATGACTTATCCAACAGGTAAAAATACAAAATATTAATTTTTTGTTTACCTCTAAACATTATTTATTACCTATATGTATGTATATCTAATGTATGGGTTTTTAGTTCCGATTCAACTGTTTTTGGAACACCACCTGCTGCAAAAAGAAACGTTGCAGTAAGTTATAACATTAATAACTAAGCATAAAAAAATTAAATGAAATTTTAGTTAATAAAATTAAAGTATTTTATATATCTAAAACATTATTTTAAAATTTTTTTAGTTTTTTTACGATATTTTTTGCCATACCATCTTTTTTGTAATTATTAATTTTGGTTAACATCATACCATAGTAAATGCCAATAAACTAACCGGTGTGAAGTTAGCAGCCACTTTCCAGCAGCCCGTTTACCGGAAACACCCGAGTTACCAGTGGCGCCGAAATGTATTTTTCTGTGAAGTTAACGGTGTATTGAAATAAAATTACTACTAAATTTTTAAGAAACCAATAAAAAGTGTTTAGAGAAAGGATTAGGGGGTAAACTGAAATAAAAATTAAATAAAAAATTAATTAAAAAATCAATTTTTCTATAAAGATAACAGAATATTGAAATAAAAATAGTGTCAAATTGTTAAAAACTATAAAACACAACCTAAAAAATTATCAAAATCACTTAGGAAGGGGATGAGGGGGTCAAATTAAATAAAATTCCATTAAAAATCTATTTAAAAATTAATTTGCCTATGAAGAAAATTGGGTATTGAAATAAAGTTAGTGCCAAATTGTTAGAAACTATAAAATACAACCTAAAAAAATTACCAAAATCACTTAGGAAGGGGATGAGGGGGTCAAATTAAATAAAATTCCATTAAAAATCTATTTAAAAATTAATTTGTCTATGAAGACAATTGGGTATTGAAATAAAGTTAGTGTCAAATTATTAGAAACTATAAAATACAACCTAAAAAAATTACCAAAATACTTAGAAAGGGGATGAGGGGGCCAAATTAAATAAAATTCCATTAAAAATCTATTTAGAAATTAATTTGCCTATGAAGACAATTGGGTATTGAAGTAAAGTTAGTTCCAAATTCTAGAAACTATAAAATAAAACCTAAAAAAATTAACAAAATCACTTAGGATCTTTGAATCCCTCATCCTCTTCCTAAGTAATTTTTTAAATTTTTTTAGGTTGTATATTATAGTTTCTAACAATTTGGCACTAACTTTATTTCAATACTAGATTGTCTTCATAGGCAAATTAATTTTTAAATAGATTTTTAAAGGAATTTTATTTAATTTGACCCCCTCATCCCCTTCCTAAGTAATTTTGTTAATTTTTTTAGGTTGTATATTATAGTTTCTAACAATTTGACACTAACTTTATTTCAATACCCAATTGTCTTCATAGGCAAATTAATTTTTAAATAGATTTTTAATGGAATTTTATTTAATTTGACCCCCTCATCCCCTTTCTAAGTGATTTTGGTAATTTTTTTAGGTTGTATTTTATAGTTTCTAATAATTTGGCACTAACTTTATTTCAATACCCAATTGTCTTCATAGGCAAATTAATTTTTAAATAAATTTTTAATGGAATTTTATTTAATTTGACCTCCTCATCCCCTTCCTAAGTAATTATGTTAATTTTTTTAGGTTGTATATTATAGTTTCTAACAATTTGGCACTAACTTTATTTCAATACCCAATTTGTCCTGGCTAAAATAAGACGGTTAGTCATTTTAATGTTTCGGCATATTAGACAGACACTCATTAACACTGTCTAACAGCATCTTCCAACCCTGTTGCTACAAGTTTTATTTTGCAAGTTAGAGAAGTAGGTACTTATGATTTTCCTGCCACACATAAGTTAAAATGGTTACATGCTGTGTTAAAGTTATATAATTGCAGAAAAATCGAAATATTCACTTTTTAGGTACAAGTAACAAAATTCAAAACTATTTCCAAATATTATTTTAAGTAAATTTACAATTTTTGTACTTACGCTGGTTTCTGGCCGACAATGAGCAACAAAAAATCAATTAATAATGCAGGAATTATTTGGAATAGGATTATCCTGAATCTATGATAAAATCGACTCTTAGTAGGCCCTCCTCCTGGATACCACAACATCATATTGAAAGGAACTCTTGTTTCTACAACTTCTCTCGCTGTGTCCAAAATTTGTTCCCACGTAATTTGTAAGTCACTTTGAGGCATACAAACATTAAATATGTATTGGGAATTCCTAAAAATTATATGAGAATTAACATTAAAAATCAGTATCATTCAATATTAGTACAATTGTACCTTTTTAAACATATTACAGAAATAATATTGTTTAAAATGGAAAAAGTTTACAAGAGCAGAGGGTATTTTGTCTGATTGGTCATATTAGTCAGCTATCGTTCACTTAAGGTGAGTACAGTACTCCCTTATAATTTTCGGACAAGCATATCTCAAAAAGTAATTTTTTTTAAAAGTTAAAATTTTGGCCAAATAAATTAGGCAATAGTATCTAGAATATGCTTATATTTTAAAGTTTTAATTATTTTCAGTTTTCAAGAAAAAAAATCAAAGGGCTTTAAATTTTGAAATATCATAATTAAAATAAATGCATTCCTCAATAACAGTATTCTTAATATAATCCTCAAATTTAAGCTCTTAATCTCTTGTTATTGATTTTTTAAAATTCGCCGAAATTAGTGGCTGAAACGCCTCGTTAAGTGCTATTTTTTGGTTTAAACTAGTGTAAACTGATGCAAATCATTAAAAGAAACGAATGATGACTCAGAGTGTACGATACGAAAGTTACAGTCGCGTTACACCAGAAAGCAGCACTTAACGAGGCGTTTTAGCCACTAATTTCGGCGAATTTAAAAAAATCATTAACAAGAGATTAAGAGCTTAAATTTGGGGATTATATTAAAATTACTGCTATTGAGGAATGCATTTATTTTCATTATATTTCAAAATTTAAAAACCCTTTGATTTTTTTTCTTAGAAACCAAAAATAATTAAAACTTTAAAATATAAGCATGTTCTAGATATTATTGCCTTATTTATTTTGCCAAAATTTTAACTTTAAAAAAAAATTACTTTTTGAGATATGCTTGTCCGAAAATTATAAGGGGGTGCTGTACTCACCTTAACGCAACCAAAAAAATATAATAAAGGCAGAAGCCTACTAGTAACCTGAACGACATGTCACGCTATCTTACGACATGTCACGCTATCTCACGCCATATGACAAAAATGTATGCTTATATTCCTTCATTTAATTAACTGTGCTGCTTACAAGATACTTGATCCACGCAATACACCACACAACAATATCCGACGCGTGGTGATACTAAATTTTCAGATAAATGTATTAAAATGAATCTTTACCAGCTTAAAGTATAAGGTTTGGAGAATGAAATCTCCTATTTTTTATTTGTCCTGTTTATACAATGAATTTTAAAAAAAATCATAAAAAGTGATTTTAGAACCAGAGGCTAAAAGTACATATTTTTCCAAGTATCCCGCCAAAATATTTCTAAATTTTATTGCGTATTTTTCAAATCTAACTGGAAATACGATTAACAAATATTTGATAAATTTATTTGTCAAATTAGAGATTTTCTATGAATTCCTGTAATTGTGTAGTTCATCTATTTTTAAGATGTCATCGTAGCTACTCTGTTTTAGAGATGGTTTTTATTAAAACCATTATTTACCTATTGGTAAATGATTGTTTAGAGGTACCAATTTTTGAAACAGTGATGCAGCTGTATGCCGTCTTTTATTGTTTCGTGATTTTCATATATATTTGTCTCGTTTGGTTCCAAATTATCGATTTATTGTCCTTGTGTATGAACAAGTGTTGACCACGTTGCCAGATTATCGATTTATACGATAATTTCACAATTCTTTCTAGGACGAATTTCATTTTAAAATGGGTGAAATATACAATGATGAAATGCAGGAAAGGGAAGGAACTTTATTGCATTCTAATGTAAATTAAATCCGAATGACCTGGCATCATTGTATGATACGCACGTAATATTGACGGTCTTTGCTTTCTTCTTCTGAATGTTATATTATCTTTATAAGGAATCTTAATTCTGAGTTAATACGTTGACTGCTATGTGTATGTACCCATGTGTATGTCCCATTAGTGCGTAATTGTTCAATATTTTAATTTATGTTAAAGACACGCAAACATGTTTCAAAGAAAAGTTATATGGATTTGAAAAATACATATTTTAAAAATATTTTTGGATATATACAAGGTGTTACATTTTTGCTTGGCATATTTTTAAAATAGAACATGTATTTTATTTCAATTTTAGAATGATTTGGTAATACTGTATTCAACCCTAGAATAATTATTTAAAAAAATATTACAGATCTGCCAAGCAATTAAATTTTTTTATAAAATTAGAGAATGATGCAGACCCCAAATTAAATTATCATAATTTAGGTAGGATTACATTGATTTCAAAATTGTTTAATAGACTGACTTATAGCACATTAAGATAACGAATAGTAGTGATAGTGCTGGATTCTTTTATAGCGAGTGTTTTGAAACATGTGTCTTAAATATGGTTACTTTTAAGTCAAATTACTCAATTTTTTCAACGGCAGCATCCGATATAATAATTTAGCATACAATTCCTTATAAATTTGCATATCCAACGATACTAACATGTTAGAGAATAACATATATACAGAGTGTCCCATCAGTGCGTAATTGATCGATAGCTGTTTTATTATTGGAAATAAGAAAAAAATTAATATAAAAATTGTATGACCATATTTAAAAATTATTCCTATATATACAGGGTGGTCCATAAACGAGATGTTGACCAAACCTATACATTTTTAAATCAAAACACCCTGGTAGTTATACATATTTGATTGTTTTCACGTCGTCAAATAATTTTAATTAACTTCATTAATTTGCTATGTTATATATAGGGTGTGTCAACACGCGAGGTTACAAATGTTTAAATTTTTTTCAATAGAATATTATATTAATTGGTGGCATAACATACAGGGTGTTCCATTCTAAAATTGAGAAAATCGTGACCATTTTGACACACCCTATATACAATATAGCAAATGAATGAAATTGAAATTATTGCTCGACGATGTGAAAACAGTCAAATATGTATAACTACCTGCAGGGTGTTTTGCTTTAAAAATGTATAGGTTTGGTCAGACAATCGTTTATGGATTACCCTGTATATTTATAAATAATTGTTAAATATGGTCATACAACTTTTATATTAATTTTTTTCGTATTTTCTATTATAAAACTGCTATCGATCAATTACGCACTAATGGGACACCCTGTATATGTGTTATTGACTAACCTATTGGTATCCTTGGATATGTTAATTTGTAAGGAATTGTATGCTTAAATAATATACAGGGTGTGGCATTTGAAAAAAATTAAATAAATTTAATTTGGAATTAGTCATATTTAAGACTTGTTTTTCAAAACACACTGTATAAAATAATCCAGTTCTATTACCACTATTCGTTAGCTTAGTATCTTATTATTACATTTTAAAAAAAAATTTGAAATTATTTTAAACCTACCTAAATAATGATAATTTAATCATGGGTCTGAATCATTCTCTAATTTCATAAAAAAGTTAATTTATTGGCAACCCTGCAATATTAATAAAATTCTAGGGTTAAATACAGTATTACTAAAGCATTCTAAAACTACAGGGTTTTCTACTTAAAATATATACCGTTTTATTTGTCAGACAAAAACGCAAAACCCTATATATCTAAAAATATCTTTAAAATAGCTGTTTTTATTCATATAACTTTTATTTAGAAATTGTTTACGTGTCTACAACACAAATTAAAATATTGAACAATGTAATAATTTAATCGCGCGCCGCGTTTATATATTTTATTCACGCTTCTATTAGATATTTTAGTTTACCTGAGTATTTACTTAAACTACTTTGCTCTTAAAACGTAAAAACAGACTTAAATTTTTCGAAAAACTACTTCGGCTCAGCCGACCCGACCACAACATTTGCTTCGGCAGTCAACGTGTTTTAAATGCTTTTTTATTCATTTGTTGTTTAATTTGTATTTAGTTATTAATATTTCAAAAATGCTTATTTTTCTTATTGATTAATCTAAAATGCACACGTAATTTTTATTAATAATTGAAAATAGTACTGTAATTCGAAATTGATAAAAAAAAGTACAAATATGAAAACATAAATTACGATTCTACAAATGAAGTAAAATTTTATGATTAATTTCTTTTTTCTTACAAAAACATTAGCTCAGCAATATGTCATAAGTTGCATATACACAGTATGTCTATGTAAGTTGATAGCAAATAGAAAACTTTTTTATTAGGTATTTATTTTACGAAAAAAAAGTAATTCTTCATAAAAATGTATGCATGGTCTAACAGAAAATGCAACCACCCGATATCAAATTTTATCAGTCGGTTTTACAAGGTTTGTCAAAAAATATAATTTTGCTCAATATAAAATACCTTTATTTTCGACAAACACTGTATACGACTGATAAAATTCGTTATCAGATGATTGCATTTTAGGTTTTAGACCATGCATAACTTTTTATGTAAAGTAACTTTTTTTCTAAAATTAATAGACCAAGCAATTGTTTATGAAAAATTAGTTTTTTTCTTAAAATTCTTAAAAAAAATTTCCGTATGTCGATGCCGCTAACTTACATATAAATGAGATTAAATTTTTTGAAAATAATTTTTACTGATGCAGGTCTAAATAAAGTATTGTGGGTATATAATATAATAAAAACACTTTTTTTTTACATTTTTCTTTTTTTATTTGGTTCTTTGGCTGTAAGACCTTTCGGTATATACAGGGTATTCCATTAAGAATGGGAGCAACTGAAGATAAACTGATAAGAAATAAGCCGAATAAACGAAACATCCGTAGGTAAAACATTACGCGTTTCCAAAACACAGGGGTTTAAAGTTGAAAATCAAAAATTATAAATAGCTACAATTTTTTTATTACACAGTTTAATTTTACTATATTCGGCAAACGTTATTGATGTAATAAAATACACCTATCAGCAAAAAAATAAGTTAAATAAGCTTTGCCAGTGGCGTACGTCATGGGCAAGTAACATCTTATTTCCTTCTAAATTTTAGTCCACTGTCCACTTTTGATGTTTTTTAAATATAGTTGAGTTAGTTTTTGAGATATTCGCACATACTTGAACATTCAGAAGTTTTTAAATTTCGATTTTTTTTATTAAATTTCTAAGAAGAGTACATTATTTATTTAAAAACATTAAAAAATTTAAAATTTTATGTCCAAATAACATTTTGGATAGTGACGTAAAATTTAGGAGGGATGCGGTATTACGTACCAATGCTGTACGCCACTGGAAAAGTTAATTAAGGTAACTAATTTTTTTGCTGATAGGTGGATAATTTGACACCAAAAACGTTTGCCAAATTTAGTAAAATTGTTGTGAGTAATAAAAAAAATATAGCCATAAATATTTTTTGGATTTTAACACCGTAATTCGGTACCGAGAAACATTTTATTTAAGCATGATTTGTTTAGTTGTCTTATTTTTAATCAGAGAATCGTCAGTTGTTCTATGTCCCATTCTTAACGAAACACCATGTATAGTATAAGTAGGCCCTACGTAATGATACGAAGACCTTTGTCCTTTGTCGACTGGAAACAAGAATAAACTAAAATGACATTGTTAATGTAAAAATATCTTTTTAAACTCCGTTTAACACAACGGTGGAATCGGTCCTAAGTAAATATACCGATGTGTCGAATTTAATTCCAAACTTTTATTTTTATACCTGTTACATCGAAACTCGTTTACTTATTATCGCGTAGTAGCTAGGGGTGATGAACATGTTATTTTATAACAGTTACCGTTTAAAATTAATAAAATTATTACGCCATCTGTTAAACAAAAGAAATATTAAATATGGAATATTGCTCCATCTGCTGAACAAAAGGATTTTTAATTAATGACACATAAATGACATCTATCAAAATTAGTTCATGTTACGAATATTGGGGGTGGTACTGTGGTCTTAAGACGTGTAGAAGTTTTCCACTTCCTTCTCTAGCCTCGCTAGTCCCGCAACTTAGTCTCTTCTTTAAAGATTAAATGAACCTGTCATCATATGGTCATCATTAGTTGACGTGGCATGGCGTCGCGTGTTGCCAGTGGTTTTCCTCTTTTAGACAAATGACCAATTACCAAGAAATTTTATTTAATTTTAATTTCATAGTGTACAAACTTTTTTTAATGTATCTGTGACTTACTTTGTACTTAAATAGTGCCAACAGAACATCATGATAGCACTGACCGTACAGTCTATTGGTGCAAAATTGGCGTAAGTTTTATTATCCATGTACACGCTTCTGATAACACCTTTTCCAGCTCCGACGAACAGTCCTGCAGGTCCTTGAAGATTGTTAGTCCAACCAGGAATAGGATCCTTGAAAGCGGGTATTACTAAAATATAATAAAAGTGTTGTTTTATTAGATATTTATAAAGATATACAATAAATAACAGAGTAACAACAAGCAAATGCATTTTAGTCACATACTTTGATTACTATACGGGGCAAGAGAGATGTCCGACACGCCCAACATAGGGCGCGGCCATTTTAAACCCTATGACACAGTTTATAGCTAAAGAATCAGATCGCTCACTCTACGTCGGCACTTTTTATCTCAATGTTCCAGTTTATACACTGCGCAACTCAGATAATACAATATATGACAACCGCCTATAATAAAACAGCAGTCTTCTGCGTATCCTCAATTTGTATCCCTGGAGTGGATGTTATTTTGGAACTTTCAACTGGTCCGAGTGAGCTAACTGATTCTTTAGCAATAAACTGTGATTCCAAAAATAATATTCACTGACACTGACAGCAGCAAGCAGAATATTGATTTTTTCTTACTATACGGAGAATGGTCGCACTGCGCAGCTTTCTGAGTACCTTTTAAAAGGAGATAGAAAACTCCGCCATTTTGAACCCTTATTACGTGTTGCCTACATCTTGGCGCAATATTTTTAATAGGTGCGTTTAAATCATTCGCTTCTGCTTCGGAATTTTCGGTTTTCTTGTTTTAATCTGACAGGTTAGAACGACTGAACCGACAATTCCGGAAGCAGAAGCTGATGATTAAAACGCACGTTGAAAGTTCCAAAATAACATCCACTCCAGGGATACAAATTCAGGATACGCAGAAGACTGCTGTTTTATTAAAGGCAGTTGTCATATATTGTATTATCCAAGTTGCACAGTGTATAAACTGAAACATTGAGATCAAAAGTGCCGAGGCAGAGTGAGCGATCTGATTCTTTAGCTGTAAACTGTGTCACAGGGTTCAAAATGGCCGCGCCCTATGTTGGGCGTGTCGGACCTCTCTCTTGCCTCGTATAGTAATCAAAGTATGTGCACCACATACTTTGATTTTCTTTGACTATACGGAGAATGGTCGCACTGCGCAGCTTTCTGAGTGTCTTTTAAAAGGAGATAGAAAACTCCGCCATTTGAACCCTTATTACGTGTTGCCTACATCTTGGCGCAATATTTTTAATAAGTGCGTTTTAATCATCCGCTTCTGCTTAGGAATTCTCGGTTTCCTTGTTTTAATCTGACGGTTAAAATGACTAAACCGACAATTCCGGAAGCAGAAGCGGATGATTAAAACGCACCTGATATTTTACTTGCTCCTGTCAGTGTCAGTTAATATTTTTTTTTGGAGTCACAGTTTATTACTAAAGAATCAGTTAGGTCACTCGGACTAGTTGAAAGTTCCAAAATAACATCCACTCCAAGGATACAAATTCAGGATACGCAGTAGATGCTGTTTTATTATAGGCGGTTGTGATATATTGTATTATCTGAGTTGCGCAGTGTATAGAGAGAGAGAGAGAGAGAGAGAGAGAGAGAGAGAGAGAGAGAGAGAGAGAGAGAGAGAGAGAGAGAATATATGTTTATTGTCCAAGTTAAAATACTTATTGACAAACACAATATTGTACAAATTACAAATAAATAAATAGTCATACAAACACAATATTGTATAAATAGTATACAAATTACAAATACATAAATAGTCATTAAAATATAAACAAACATTATTATAAATTAACATTAATACATACATCTAAAATAAAATAAAACAAAACAAAATAAAACACATATCACAGTGTCTCGTTATTATAAAATTCTATAATATTATAATAAGGCCTAGTTAACAGAAATCTCTTGAGCAGCTTTCTAAAACAATTCTGTGACTCAACATCTGTCAACGTATGCGATAGCCTATTGTACATTTTGATACCATTGTATATAAAAGAGTCTCTTATTAGTTCAGTTTTGGGAATAGGCAACTTCAAGTTACCCGTTTGGCGAGTTACACGGGATGTATTCGATTTATATTTCGACTTGTTCTTATGGATCATGCAACAAGTTTCTAAGATAAATAAAGATGTTAATGTTAATATTTCTTGTTTTAAGAACAGAGGTCTGCATGAAACTAATCTGTGTGCTCCACATAAGAACCTTATTGCCCGTTTCTGCATTAAAAAGACTCTGTCAAATAACTCGGCAGAACAGACTCCCCAAAACTGAACAGCATAACGTAGATGGGAGTCAACTAACGCATAATATGCAGTTTTTGCTGGACAAACTCCCAATTCATGAGAGGTGGTTCTAATGGCATAACAACCCGATGCGAGTTTTTTTAAAAGTGAATCCACATGAGATTTGAATTTCAAATCCATGTCGATATTTAAACCCAAAAATTTTGTACAGTTTGTGGCTTCTACAGTATCCATATCTATTAAAATATCAGGAACATTACATTTAAACATAAACTGGAACATTGAGATAAAAAGTGCCGACGCAGAGTGAGCGATCTGATTCTTTAGCTATAAACTGTGTCATAGGGTTCAAAATGGCCGCGCCCTATATTGGGCGTGTCGGACCCACATACTTTGATAAGTATGTGGTCGGACCCCTCTCTTGCCCCGTATAGTAATCAAAGTATGTGACTGACACTGACAGCAGCAAGCAAAATATCAGGTGCGTTTTAATCATCCGCTTCTGCTTCCGGAATTGTCGGTTCAGTCGTTCTAACCTGTCAGATTAAAACAAGAAAACCGACAATTCCGAAGTAGAAGCGGATGATTAAAACGCACCTATTAAAAATATTGCGCCAAGATGTAGGCAACACGTAATAAGGGTTCAAAATGGCAGAGTTTTCTATCTCCTTTTAAAATGCACTCAGAAAGCTGCACAATGCGACCATTCTCCGTATATAAAAGAAAATCTAAGTATGTGATTTTAGTGTAGAATAAAGTACGCTAGTATCGTGTACTTTTTTTTATTAACGCTAGTATTCGTAATCTGTCAATTAATCTTGGACGTTTTTAGAGCAAATCAAAGGATACATTATACATTATATTACACCAAAATAAATCATTGTCCACTTAAAAAAAGTAAAAATCAAATTTTACTAAAATTGGTCAAATTACGCTGACAAAAAAAGATCCCTAATCGGTTAGGTTATCCAATTTTGGAATAACAATATAAAATTAGTAATTGAAGCAGAAATAAATAAATGCATCATTTTTGTCTACATTAGCACAGTGGGTATATAGTCAAAGCAATGAAGCAGAAAGTTCCTGGGTTTTTCGGATCGGATCGGAATGCGGTTTTCTGCATTTGCTTGCAAAAATTATTTATATCATTTAAATAAGTGTCAGAACTAGCCCAGATTGGGTGCTCGGGAGTATTCGAGGTCGCTAATCACGATTATGATGTCTAAATTGACCCACAGCCGACTGGAGCTCAGAAACGTCGACGAACGTCATCTTCATGGGACTCTCCCAAAATTCACGCAGGGAAGGAGAGCAACTAAGCGATCGGGGTTTTTATGGGTCGCAGAATCCAAATATGGCATCGGCGAATACCCCCCGGACACCTGGTGCGCCCAAACCTCGACCTGGACGTCATTTCCTAGAATTTTTCTCACAATATTGACAAGAACAACCCGAAAATGATTGAGCGGAGTTTTTTGGGGCGCTGAATCTAAATTTCACGTCGAAAACGACCCCTTGAACACCTGGTGCACCGGAACTTGGCCCTGAACGTCATCCCCGAGGGGTTTCCAGACCCAATTGAAAAAGACGAACCGAAAATCGTAAAAGGGGGTTTTTTGGGGCACTAAATCCGAATTTTATGTGGAAAACAACCCCCCGAACACCTGGTGCGCTCTAACTTGGCCCTGAACGTTTTCATTGTGGTTCTTCCAGACCCAATTGAAAAAGACGAACCAAAAATCATTATAGGGGGGGTTTTGGGTCGCTGAATTCAAATATGGCATCGGCGAACACCGCATGGACACCTGGTGCGTCTGAACCTAGACCTGGACGTCATCTCCGAGGCGTCAATACTGCAATAGCTGTGTGCAATTATTGATTCTAGATTACGTGAGGAAGAAAGAAAGAGAATGAATAGAAACGCAATATTTATGTAATTTACGGTAAAACAATTTTTATTGGCCTCAAATCGAATACAATGAACCTATAAGTTTGTCATTCCTTAATTAATTAATAACTCAAATGTGTCTGATCATTTTCTTCGTCATCGACTGACGTATTCATACGGGGAACATCTCCCTCATCTTTTAGTGTTAAGGCAAGTTGAACCTTCACAAATTTTACAGGCAAGATTGCAAGGTAGGCCGTGCTTCCTGCAACTACAGGTGTTCAGATTACAATCTCCTTTGCATCCACAGAATATTAGTTCCTTAATATTCTTGGGCGCAGGTTTTTCTGTACCGGCACTAGTGTGTCGCCTTCCTTTCTTCACCCCCATTTTGTTGGGTCCATGGTCAGCTGGTTTCCGTGCAGCCATTGTTGTACTTGAAAATAGACCCTCTTTAGATGTTGTTGAATGGCGTCTACTGTAGGGAGAATTTTGTCCAAATTTACTCTCTCCGTCGCAGCGGTTCTCCTGTACATTTCGCACCTGTACGTTTGGAGTAACTGGTTCCATTTTGGCTTGTCAGGAATATTTGGTTTCCTGAATGACATTGGAGCAATGTACATTGCCAGGATTAGCTGCGCCCCGTTCTCAAAAATTGTTTCGCTGGACAAACCAGAATGGATGAACTTTTTCTAGGGCCCCAGGGGAGAGTTACACATGAATGAATGTATAAAATTATGTTTTGGGGAGTTTTTTGTGATCGCGACTGTAAAACCCTCGGAGATTCTAATTCAGCGCCCCTTCACGATTTTCGGTTCATCTTTTTCGATTGTGCCAGGAAAATTCTCGGAGATGACCTAAAGGTCCAGATTCGGACGCACCAAGTGTCCGTGGGGTGTTCGCCGATGCCATATTTGAATTCAGCGACCCAAAAACCCCCTTTTAACGATTTTCGGTTCGTCTTTTTCAATTGAATCTGGAAAACCTCGGTGAAGAAGTTCAGGGCCTGGTTAGGGCGCACCAGGTGTTGGGGGGGTTGTTTTCCACGTGAAATTCGGATTAAGCGCCCCAAAAAACCCCTTCGGAATGATTTTCGGTTCATTTTTTTCAATTGTGTCTGGAAACCTCTCGGGGATGACATTCAGGGCCAAGTTCCGGTGCACCAGGTACTCAGGGGGTCGTTTTCGACGTGAAATTTAGATTCAGCGCCCAAAAAACTCCGCTCAGTCATTTTCGGGTTGTTCTTGTCGATATTGTGAGGAAAATTCTCAGAGGTGACGTCCAGGTTGAGGTTTGGGCGCACCAGGTATCCGGGGGGTATTCGCCGATGCCATATTTGGATTTAGCGACCCAAAAAAACCCCGATCGCCTAGTTGCCCTCCTTCCCTGCGTGAATTTTGGGAGAGTCCCACGAAGATGACGTTCGTCGACGTTCCTGAGCTCCAGGTTGGCTGTGGGTCAATTTAGACATCACAATCGTGATCAGCGACCTCGAAAACTCCCGAACACCCGATCTGGGCTAGTTCTGACACTTATTTAACAAGTTTTGAAATCATCCAAAAGGCATCTCAAATACTGCATTTTTTGAATGCATTTTTGGCTGCAGCAAAGCAATTTCCGGTTTGTATGACCCGGAAATTACGGGGAAATAATACAAATAATTTTTGCAAGTGAATGCAAAAAACCGCATTCCGATTCGACTTGCACGGAAAAACCCAGGAACTTTAGCCTTTTTAGTGCTTCATTGCCTCGACTAATAGGCATATTTGAAAATAGTTGAACACCGAATTCATTGTTTATCCTTCACATCTTCAGAGAAGAGTCGACAAAAACATACATTCAGCTTCCTTTTCCCCAATATCAGAATCATCTAAAACGAGTTTTTATTCAGATGGGTACTCCGTATTGTTGATGTACTTTATTTTCGTTCTGTGTAACCTTGGTTTAAAAAATATGACTTTTTTATAATTGAATTGACATTATAATCAAAGTATATTAACCGTTGAGTAGTGACAGCTAGGGAACCGAATTCTAGTGCGCCGACGCGAAATAGAGATGTAAACAACCCCTTTCACTTTAGTCCGGGAGCTGATATAGAAATTCGTTGTTGTGGATTTATTAGTCAAAAATTGTATTCAGACATGTTTAAACAACGCGAAATTTAAAGTTTGAGACAACTCGATTAATAAATAAAAAGGTCCATGAGTAATCATTTCTATTGTTATCAAAAATCAAAACCCTGTGCACCTACCAACTTTCAAGTCTCTAGCTCATCCGGACGTAGGTAAAAAAATCGAAATTTATCAATAGTGATATATATTTTTATATTTACTACATAAGTTAAATACTCATAAATATAAAACTGCCTAATGACCAAACCTTTATTATAAATGTAAACTACAGAAGAGTTTTTCTTCAAATTATGTCGAGCAGTGTAAACATCACATTCAAGACCAGTTCATAATTCGAGTAGTGTTTTACTGTGTCGTTCCGTCAATAACGTCAAAAGAGAGAGAAAGAAAATTTGCACCACCCAAGATCAAAGGCACCGACGCTTTATGTCGCTACTCAACGGTTAATATACTTTGTTATAATTTTTGTGAATTGTCTATACATTTTTATATTAAATAAATAAGTTCTCCTCAAGTCTTTCTCCTCATTATTTGACGTTCTTTGTCCACCTCGTAGGTGTACAAGCGCAACATTTGGTGACCGCCATATGCAACTTTGAGACATTCAGAAGAATATTAAGATGGAGAGGCTTCTGAAGGAGAACGATATGTATAGCTACTCATTAAAGAGACATTTCGATGAAGTTCAGATGGAATTCAATAAAGATGAACCAGATATGTTTACGGTTCAAGGAACTATTAAAACCCTTAAAGGTACATTTGAATGCTTGATTAAAATAAATAAGAAAATTATTGATTTTGTTTTGGACGATGATACTCTTGATACCGATGTTGATAGAATGAAGTCTGAGATCGATGATGTTATTAAGCATTTTCGCACACTGCAAATCAAAGTCAATTTTTAACTTAGTATAAATACAGCTAAGATACACTCCATTAACAATCTTTCTTCTACTAGTAAAATATTCCTCAAGCTACCAAAAATAGAATTTAAGAAATTCAGCGGAGACTTGAAATAGTGGTTGTCTTTTTGGAACCAGTTCAAAAGAATCCATGAGGATGACCAAATAGAGAAGGAAGACAAATTTTAATACCTTATTCAGGCCACCATCCAGTCCCTTTTTACTTGGTGTAGTCATTGATTTTAACTTAAAAAATGCCCTCGGAGAACCAAAATATTCTCTTTCGATTTTAAATTAGATAGATCAAATGGATAAAGTGAACTTACCAATTGCAGGTCTACAAATAATAAGAGGTATCTTTCCAACTTTTTCGTATACTAAAGCTTCGGTCAATGCTTTGGAATAGGTATAAGTATTTGGAATATCTCCTAACAGCCTGAAAATTGAATATTATAAATTTTGGAAGTTAAATTTATTCCTTTCAAGACTATATTTTAATAAGTTACAGCAATATGGGCGTAAGTCGAAAGTGTCAGCACCATAGTTGTAAATTCGATGGAGAGATTTTAGATCAATGGTGTTATGATTTCAAATGTGTTAGTCCAATTAAATAACGAAAAAAAGCCCCTTCGAGCTTACATTAATTTGTAATTGGATGAAACAAAAAGCTTGTGTATTTTGATGTGATCTTTCCGAAAAAAAGAAAAAAAAGATGTAGCAGTTTTTCAATTTTTTTTAAATTAGGAAAAACCGGGTTTTCCAGAATTTTCTATTGTAAAAATGCTAATTATCTAGGCAAGTATCATTCCGATAGTGAAAATAAATGCACCATTCGAAAGAGGAGGCAAAAATAGTTCGGAAATTCATTGCACAGGTGGTTTTAATGGCGAATTTTTCGCCGCTAGAAGTGCTTTTACCAAAAAGTCGTTTTTTCGTTTTTTTGATCAGAACCAAGGACATGACATTTGCGATGAATTTGTGGCGAAATTATAAATGTTAGACATATGTTCTTATAAGAGAAGTTGCGTATTTTTTTGTTGGCTCTCAAATAAAATAAGTCCCGCGGCGAAATCTGACATAATTTTTCGAGAATTCGCAGGAAACCAGAGGCGTAGTTTTTTTTTTAATTTTTTTCCCATATGATTTTTTCCGGGTTTTCCGAAAACATCTAACAAAAAAAATATATTTGAAAAAACTAACTTCGCCATCGAAAAGAGCACAAAAAAATACACAAATAGGTATACTTTAAAAATGTTAGGAAATTAATCCTAAGCCTGAGTGTAAGTTCCAACTTGGTGATAAGCTTGCTTTTTGTTCGCTAATATCTGGTAATTCCATATTTTGCACAAAACTCAAGAAACGTCTTATAACAAGTCAGTAAAATACAATTTAATAAATTTTAAGCCTAATAAGTTTAGATATGTAAGAAATTTAAAACTGGAAAACGCAAAAAATCAAATTACAGTAATGTAGTGTATACACGAGTTTTGGATCCCGCGGAGCGCGTGTAATGGGACTTTTGTCGGGAGAATTCTACAACTTAGAAGAAACATACACACTTTAAACTTTGTATACACATTTAGAAGACATGAAATTTGGGTTTGTTTAATTTTCAGACAAAAAAACTAAAAATTGTCAATTTTAGGCAACTTTTCTCAATAACCGTGTTTTTTGGTCGTCACTCAATGAACAGTGGTAAAAAAATTAGATAAAATATATTTGCAGAATTTTCCGTAATCTAATCGTATTCTAGACACAATAGAGTACTCAAAAAAAAAAGTTTTGAGCCATTGGGTGCATTTTTGGCATTTTTGTGCCACTTCAAACTTTCGAAAAAAAAAATTAAAAAAAAAAAATTATTTAATTGTTTGATATCTTAGCCAATTATGGTCCGATGTCGGTGAAATTCACACACACATAAGATTTCACATTTAAGAGTAAGCTTTGTAAGTGGCATTAAAAAAATTCAAATAGTTTGGCCGTTATAGGTAAACAATGAAATTAGGACCGCGGTGCATTTTGCCCTTCCACCATATGCCCAATTTTGGGATTTCTCTTGCTCCCTTCTGGGAATCACTAGTCACATCCCTTAAGTTCAAAACGCATTTTTGTTTTTTCAAATATCTTAATTTTTAACAATGTTATAAAGAATTTAGTGTTTGAACATTTAACAAATTCAATTTTTCGACCTTCGTCGCCTCAAAATACTAAACAAATTTCAATCGTCCATACCGCGAGAACGGTGCATCGGATCAAAATTTCTCAGAAGACATAAAAATTAGCATTTTTCCTAAGCTTTCAAATGCCGTAAACTGCGTTTTAAAAATATTGATTTATTTCCGACATGCGCCTGCGCAAAATTGAAAAATTGACAAAATCCAAAATTTCGGCACTTTCGAAAAACTGCTACATTTTGTTTTGCCTTTTTTCGAAAAGATCACCTCAAAATACATAAAATCCATTTTGTTTCATCTAATTACAATTTAATGTAAGCTCAAAACCCGTAATTTAATTCGATTATGTAGGTTAACTTAAGTTTGGTTTATAAAAACATAGTTTAATGTTTTATTAATATTATTTGATAAAAAATATAGTTGTGTTTTAATCCTATCCGAATTCCTCTGACTAGAATGTGGAAAAGCTTACTACATACTATTTATTATACAAAGGGTGACTCTTGACAGTCTGTATTTCACGTTTTTAAACAAGTGTTTAAAGTTTGAAATATGAATTTTTCTATTTAGGAATATATAATTGAAAAGCTTAAATAAATTCCCTTCCCTTACACAAGTCGTTCAGTCGACTTCAGGGGTTGAAATTCACTCGTAAGGGGGTGAATTAGGGAGAGTATTATTATTATTATTATTAAAAGCAATGAGTTTGGAACGAACTTATTATAAAAATAGTTTTTCTGCTTTTAGAACGAAAGTATTCTTTTAATTTAATTATTAAAAATATTATCACATTTACAATATGGAGCTGAACAATACTTTTGCGAATACTCAGCTGTACTATTTTTGAATGGAACCGAGTTAGATGATGTTAGCCGTATTATATTATCAGAAACATTACTGATTTATGATAATGTATATTCGAAAGAATAATTTTTTACCTTTTTGTTAACTCTGGGGTGAACGCTTCTTCTTTTAACCAATTAAAACTAGTCATGATTTCGTGTGGATTACCTGGAGCTTTGTATTCTTTTTCAAAAGTTATTTCATCCTGATTTGGAAAAGCGTAAGCTGTTGATACGTGGACAAATAACTAAAAAAAAGAGAAAAAATAAACACGGTGAAAAAACTGATACTTCCTTAGGATAGAACTTTTCATTTTTGACCATTACGTATTTCAATTACATGTTAATCAACACTTGGATTGGGGCAAAAATTAAATGTGAACACCCAGTTAAATTTCATAAGAACGCAACATTTTAAAATCACATAAATAACAAAAATATTTATTCAATTTTAATATTTTTATTATTTTCACATATGTTAAATCTCTATTGTTTTTGGAACGCCACTGCGCTCTGACTCATTGCATCTCTGTCGGTGCATTATTCTGATTAAGCACCAGAGGTTTCTGCAAATGCCTGTGGTTAAAAAGAGAGCTCAACAGATCCGTGAAACAATCAATGTGACTGCTTGAAACCACGCTATTTTGTGCATTACACAAAAACAAGGCATGACGTCACAAAGCAGGGCGGGGCATACGAAACTTTATATTCATTGAGATAGAATAAAAAAGATACTATGGCGATATTAAAAGTGCACCTTTGCATTAAACTTTTACGTTATATGTCGTCAAACACAAGCTACTGGAGCTAGTCAGTTTTGGTGAGAATAAATGCCTTTTTTTAAAATAACGTACTTTAAATGATATAAAAACATTTCCATCTTAAACAAATTTATTCACATTATAAATCCCCATAAGACACTTAAAAGTATTGTGTTTAAATAAAACTGCGACTTTAATAAATCGGAAGAATGTGTGTAAATTCAAGGATTGTTACTATTATTTTAAGCATAACAGTGTTTTTTAGGTTATGTTGCTTGTTTATTTGCAATTTTAATCAATAATATAGGTTTCCGACTATCCATGCATTAAACATTATCTGTTGATTTTGAGTTCTGGCTTGATTTTCGTTGAACAAAGCCTGACTTTGTAAAATTTCACGTAATAATATAGTAACACCAAAATAAATTTTAATATTTTTGTATAACCAGATAAATATTCGAAATTAATCTCAACATATAAAGAAGAGTCAACTGACTATAACTAGTCATGTTTATAAATATTATAATCACTAGAATAGTCACTTTTTAACATAAAAAAAAACCAAAAATCCTATCTTTTTCAATGTACATTGTTGAAGCTATTTATTGCATAAATTAGATTACATCCCAGAAAGTGCCCTCGTCCGTCACCATTACATCGAAGCTACCTATCCCAATGTTAAGGTAACAAGGTTAATGCAAAGGTAACGTCATAATGTCAGGAGTTCTACAGTACTCTCCCTTAGAGTTTTGCATCCAAAACTTAATACAATTATTCTTACACATAACTAACGACTGGTGAAAGACTGTCTAGAAGACCTGACAGAGCTAAGTAGTCAAAATAAGGTGACCTTAGCATGGGTTCCAGGCCATGAGGGATATCAGGGCAACGAAAAGGCCGACGAATTAGCCCGAGAAGGCTCAGATAAGGCCATGACAGGCCCTGAACCCTTTTTGTGGAGTCGCTAAGGCATTGTGCAAGGCATCCATTAAAAAATGGATGCAAAAAGAGTCTCAGGAATGGTGGAACAACTATCCAAGACTGAGACAGGCCAAACAGTTCATCAAGGAACCATCGGCCAAGTTTACGAAAGACCTACTGGATCAAAAACGTCAAAACGTTAGGATTACAGTAGGCCTTCTTGTCGCCTCAAAAGGCACATGAGTGTCATAAATCCAGCAGCAGAAGCAGTAGATAGACAACGTTCGTAGGGGACCACATAGGGGATTTAATGTGTAAGAGTGAGAAGTACAGATTCAATGGAAGAGGGAGACATAGTGAGGGGAAGTGGAACAGTGGGGGGAGTGGCGGGAATTAAATCTCTTTTAACGTTGAACAGAAAAATCATACGATTGCCAGAAAGGCCTAAGCGTGTATCTTTGTTATTGTTGATCCGATTCAAACGGGAAAAACGGCATTATATAGATAACTCGGTATGGATTAAAGTTGAACAGAAAAATCATGCGCAAAACGAAAAGCCAGAAGGGCCTTAGCGTGTTTCTTGGATATTACTGGTCCGATTCAAACGGAAAAAACGGCATTATATAGAGAACGTGGTATAAATGAACGTTGAAGAGAAAAATCATGAGTAGAACGAAAAGCCAGAACGACTTTAGCGTATTTCTCGGAAATAACTGGCACAATTCAAACGGAAAAAACGGTATTATGTAGATAACTCGGTATAGATTAACGTTGAAGAGAAAAATCGACATTTTATTTAACGTTTCATTTGACGTTTTCGTTTGACGTTTTCATTTGACGTTTTTTCATTTGACGTTTTCGTTTGACGTTTTTTCATTTGACGTTTTCGTTTAACGTTTTTGTTTGATGTTTTAGTTTGACGTTTGACGTTTCGCATAACTTTTCATTTGATGTTTTCGTTCGACGTTTGACGTTTCGTATAACGTTTCCGTCTGACGTTTTCGTTTAACGTTTTCGTTTGACCATGCTGATTGTATCTACGTACGAGGAAGTGAAAATGCAGAATTGTTAGTAAAAAAAAGTCACGTGTTTGGAATATTTCCTATAACAGTAGATATATGCAAGTTCGATGGAACACCGTGTACAACAGAAAAATTTATTAGTGGCTCCAAAACCTGCATGTATCACGCCAATGGATCATTTAAAAGTAACCAGAAGAACATCGAATGTCTACGTCACTGGTTTCTTAATACTATATTACCGTTGTAATTTTTTGTTATATAATGAAAATGTTGTTTTTTTTAATTAAAGACACTTTATCTATTTCAAAGAGTAAAATTTTTTATTTATAATTTTTACAATAATTTTCAATATTATAAACAAAGTAGATGATAATGTTATACAACTATTATAATTTAGAATATTCAGGCTCTGGCATGTCACTCAAATCGATCGGTGGTGGTGGTGTTGCTATAGTCTGTCAATTTTTTAGTTCTCCTTCAGTTGCATCAATAAAAATCAATTTTAATTTGAATTATTTTGGTTCATCGATTGCTATGAAAAACGTTTTTAGCTTTATATTATTTACCATTGAGAAATTCATCTTTCGCCATCGTTTGATTGTCAAAACGTATCGCCATCCGGCACGTTTGTATACAGCACGTTGTTTTATATAGCCCGTAAGTATAATGAAATTAGCCTTTAAGATGGCCATATTTGCGTTGGTTGGATCCTTCTAAGCGATCTAGGATGATATCTGTCAAAGATTTTATCCCAAATCTTTTAAAACTTGTTTTTTATCTTCATATAATTTTATGTCTCTATTCAGTTCTCTAATTTTTACACCAAACTCTTCAATTCTACGTCTATTCTCTTCGCTAGACATCTCAATACTGACTATTCGGAGGATGGACTTAAGTTAGACCGCTCGACTAACCTGGCTGTAGTAGTAGTAGTTAGTTTAGTTGAAGTAAGAAATGTCAAAAAAAAACGTCAAACGAAAACGTCAAACGAAAACGTCAAACGAAAACGTCAAACGAAAACGTCAAACGAAAACGTCAAACGAAAACGTCAAACGAAAACGTCAAACGAAAACGTCAAACGAAAACGTCAAACGAAAACGTCAAACGAAAACGTCAAACGAAAACGTCAAACGAAAACGTCAAACGAAAACGTCAAACGAAAACGTCAAACGAAAACGTCAAACGAAAACGTCAAACGAAAACGTCAAACGAAAACGTCAAACGAAAACGTCAAACGAAAACGTCAAACGAAAACGTCAAACGAAAACTTCAAACGAAAACGTCAAACGAAAACGTCAAACAAAAACGTCAAACAAAAACGTCAAACGAAAACGTCAAACGAAAACGTCAAACGAAAACGTCAAACGAAAACGTCAAACGAAAACGTCAAACGAAAACGTCAAACGAAAACGTCAAACGAAAACGTCAAACGAAAACGTCAAACGAAAACGTCAAACGAAAACGTCAAACGAAAACGTCAAACGAAAACGTCAAACGAAAACGTCAAACGAAAACGTCAAACGAAAACGTCAAACGAAAACGTCAAACGAAAACGTCAAACGAAAACGTCAAACGAAAACGTCAAACGAAAACGTCAAACGAAAACGTCAAACGAAAACGTCAAACGAAAACGTCAAACGAAAACGTCAAACGAAAACGTCAAACGAAAACGTCAAACGAAAACGTCAAACGAAAACGTCAAACGAAAACGTCAAACGAAAACGTCAAACGAAAACGTCAAACGAAAACGTCAAACGAAAACGTCAAACGAAAACGTCAAACGAAAACGTCAAACGAAAACGTCAAACGAAAACGTCAAACGAAAACGTCAAACGAAAACGTCAAAAGAAAACGTCAAACGAAAACGTCAAACGAAAACGTCAAACGAAAACGTCAAACGAAAACGTCAAACGGAAACGTCAAACGAAAACGTCAAACGAAAACGTCAAACGAAAACGTCAAACGGAAACGTCAAACGAAAACGTTGAACGAAAACGTTGAACGAAAACGTTGAACGAAAACGTTGAACGAAAACGTCAAACGAAACGTTAAACGAAATGTCGATTTTTCTCTTCAACGTTAATCTATACCGAGTTACCTATATAATGTCGTTTTTCATATTTGAATCGGACCAGTAATATCCGAGAAACACGCTAAGGCCCTTCTGGCTTTTCGTTCTGCGCATAATTTTTCTGTTCGACTTTAATCTATACCGAGTTATCTACATAATGCCATTTTTCCCGTTTAAATCGGACCAACAATAACAAAGATACACGCTTAGGCCCTTCTGGCAATTGCATGATTTTTCTGTTTAACGTTGAAAGAGATTTAATTCCCCCCACTCCCCCACTTCTCCTCACTATGTTTCACTCTGAATCTGTATCTCTTACTCTTACACATTGAATTCCCTATGTGGTCCCGTACGAACGTTGTCTATCTACTAGAAGCAACTTTGTGCAGATTCTGTGAAGAAGAAGAGGAAACATCATTCCACGTCCTGTGCCAATGTGAAGGCTTGGCTGGAATGAGGTTTCTAACATTGGG